CTGCAGAGTCCCAAGGGAGCTGCACCCAGTCCACTGCCAGCGGCGTCTGGTGGAGCCACGACGCTAATCGCAAGGATCTGGGTTTGTGTTAAGCAATGTTTACATTGCGCCYTGCATCCCAGCTATTATTTGAGTGAGCTGAGCTTCTCACATGGCACCTAGAGAAAATAAATTTGTGGTAATCATGGTTTAAGGGCATGGCTTTCTAGGTAACTATACCAGTGAGGACAGCTAGGAAAWAATAGATTTTCTGATGCTCACACCCTTCTTCGGAACCTCACCATGTACATCTCTAGGGATCCCTGGAGATGAACAGTCAAAGTTTATTAGACAAGGAAATGCTGGATGGCCATGGGAGAGAGAAAAGTCACAGGTACTTCGAGTTTAGAAACAGAACTTCTCTCAGCAGCACAGGAGTACTAAATACAATATTGAATGGTTCACAAGTTAAAGTTATATAGACAATATACCACCTCTCCTTCCTCCTTCCTTTGTGCATCAATGTGACCTGTCAGAGCGACGCTGCATGGGCTCAGAGTTGCTGATAGCAGGGACTTGGCATTCCTGACCTGCTGAACGATCTCTGTTTTGAATCTGGATGGGTGAAAGCATCAATGTGGGAGAATCCAAGTGCAAAACTGAGGATGGTGTTTGGTGGGGAGCAYACCATGGGTGCTTTCAGGATATGGGAGGCACACAGAAGGCATTAATTAGTCATGTTCTTTGGAAATAATACCACCCAGATACACAGGAGTTCTGCTCTGGGCTCAGTGTTTACTATTTAGACTTCACCTGCCTGTTTTTAATGGACAGATCCTGCAACTATTGACACATTTTTGGTCTTCAAGATAAGGACATTTTCTTGTAGCTGCTGTTCATCCTTTGCCCTGAGGCCCAGTTGTATTAGAGTGCAAGGCCTGGAGCTTCTTGTGGCAACATAAAGAGTTGCTGCTTGAGTATATTTTCTGTAATAAACACCCATAAACTTTACAGCACAAGGCATCAAAGGATGTTTTGCCTCCTAGTAAGTGAAAATGAAAGGTATCAGAGRGATTAGAATCTCTTCAAACACCAAAAGACTTAGGATAGCAGAGGACTTGGGTCAGTCAAGTGGTTTTTTTTTTGACCCAACAGAAAGAACCAAGTTCCTCGTGAAACCACAGCTACAGGGAGAAGAGTCTCACTGACAGGTGTAATAACTGAAATCACTTCAGGCTGATATTGCTGCAGACAACAGAAAACAAATGAGCACATCCCTKTTAATTTGCTTAACCAGCGTGAAGCTGAGCAGAAGGTGTTGGTTGCAGAAGTGTTGTCATTGTGACTATTTTGGGTCTCATTTAATTTTTAATTCATTGAATTTTCCTTTATAAATAGGCTCAAAGATGGTCTGCTGTTGGTATATTCAGAAAAGGCTTCTTAAGTATTATTTACCTTTCTGAGAAATAAATAACATGCTTTCCCTGGAAATAGCATGTAATTACCTTCTTAACAAT